AAATAAAATAAATGGAAATAAAAATAAAAGTGGAGTTATATTTTTTTATTCTATTCCACCGGCTCGCTTTTTCAATCGAAGTATTGATTTTCAGTTAATTATATATAAAAATAGTTATAAATTGCGTGACTCACCGTTTGAAGTGGGATGCCTCTATCTCCTTTAAAAGTGGCCGTTACCTTGGACAATATACCCATGTTTGCCCTTCTATTCTATCCTTGTCTAGTTCCCATCGTTCTGGTGTTTTTCCTTTTCTTTCATTATGTCTTTGTCCTTCTCCTGTGTTCACCTGTTGTTACCTTGTCGCACGTATCCTACCCTTTTCGCACCGACACTTATATTTATGTAACGGCTATTTCTGTCCTTCACGAGTTTTTCTATTCACACTCTTACTGTTCCGAAATTTAACGGATTAATAACCGGGATTAGACTTCTTGCTTATCCACTTATCCATTTCACACCTTTTAAGCCATGCAGCTATTAAGCCCTTTTAATTTAATTTCATTTTGCCAAATTTAATCCTATTTTTATTTTTTGCCCAATATATCTTTCAAGTTTTCAATTATTCGATTGTTCTATTTTATCTCACTCTTCTCATTCCACTTCAGTCCGTATTACTTCGTTCCACCTTACTTTACTTTGCCTTATTCTATTTTATTTTAGTTTATATGCCACTAATTTCACTTTCTTTTATTGTTGGACACTTTTATTTCACCTCTTTTTTTCTTTTTTTTTTCACTTTTATTTCTCATTTATTTAGCGCCTGAACGTTTGCAATTAAACTTCATTTGACGTTACTTTTTGTCTTTTCACACTAGTAGTTAAAGTAACTTTAATTAAATCACCTTTTAGCTTTTTTCTGTTTCACTTATATTTATTTATTGGTTTATCTATTAATTAAATGGTTTATTTGTTGCTTTAATTGTTTGAGTAAGATTTTGTGTTTTAATAGTAGATTATACAATTTAGGTTTAGTTCGATGTGATACTTCTATTTTCTAGGGATATTTCCCTCCTTAAGATTACAACTGCTAGCCGCGGTGGTTCAAGGTGGACTGAGAGCTCTTTGCTTTCTAGGAATTCCTTCCCACCACACTGGCCCCCACGCAGAGTACTCCATTCCCCTTCCATTTCTCCTGTTATGTGCCTCCTCACAGCCTTCTCCTCCTCCTCTTTCCTCTAATTCCATCCCTGTCTCTTTCATATCAGTTTCTCCTTTTCTGTGTCTCCTTTGCCCTCAGGATTCTCCCTACTGCTTCCGCGAATTCTTTCCACTTTTCCTTATTTCTAATTGTTGATTTGTATTAATGTAGCCCGTGTGTGCTGTCGCACTGAGCCGACTGATTAAAAATGGACAAATGCGTGTTGCCTTTCTAACTTTGTGTAATGTTTATTGTATGTAAAAACTAAGTTACTAGTTTGACTGATAGATGTTTTTGCTCTGATGGTTGTAATGATTCTCCCTTCTCGAGAGCTCGTCTTCGCCCTCGAGAGCGGTGGTTCTTGAAGAATACGCTGATTGGTGAATATTTTCTAATATTCATCGCCAATCAACGTGCCTAATTTTCTCGCCAACTCCTTCCAGTGCGCCCTTAGCGCGCTTTACCCTGGTGGAGTGGGAGAAGATCCCAAGGGGTAACCAAATGTTTATAATAATTCGGGAAATTCCTCCGGGTGACTCATCGGCCAGCGGACCGTTACAGACAATTGTACCCTTCGGAAGACCCGTGGTTTATGGCATGTTCTTAAGCTATTGAGCGCGGAAGGCACAAGCGGCAAAAAACTCTAATTAAGTGATTCTACCGGTCTTCGCTAGGATGGACGTTAAAGCATAAAATAGTAAATTAAATCCTAATCTCAAAAACAGCCTGTAGGTGCGATCGTGCCATAAACCTTTGCTGAATGAAACCTAACACTAACGTTTCCATTACTATCGAAATTATTACGACTTTAGTTGTCGATTATTCAGTTTCTTATACATTTGTTCCCTACTCCATCTTGAACATCACAAAATTACGTGCTCCGCGTCCTCGTTTACCCTACATGCATCGCACATGGGACTTTGCCTTTTCTTAAATTTATGCAGATATTCGTTAAACGCATCGTGTCCTGATAGAAACTGCGTTATGAAGTAGTCCACTTTACCATGTCTTCTGCTTTCCCATGCCCTCACGTCCTTGATCAGCTTCTTTGTTCAAGCCGCTTTCCCCGTATCCACGGTCCATCTATCCTGCCATTGCTTCATCATTGCCCTATATTCCTCTTTCTTTATCCTCCCCTTGATCTTCCTTTTCTCGATAGGATCCAGTTCTCCCATATCCATTTCCTTCGATCTTTCATAGGTTTTCCTTCTCATTTTTGCTACGATTTTTAAGGGTGGAGTGCTTGATATTACTTCCGCAGCTTCCGTGGATACGGTCCAGTATGCCCCTGCTACCCTTAACGCACATACTCTTGAGATCTTCTCTATTAGCTTCTTGTTTACCCCTTTCTCACATTTATCCGCCCAGACCGGTGCGCCGTACAAAAAGATCGATTGCCCCACATTAACCAGTAGTTTCCTTTTCCCTTGTGTTTCCCTCCTACCCTATTCATAGCCCTGATTGTTTTGCCATATGCATTTTCTATATGTGCATTAAATGTTAGCTTTTCGTCCAAAGTAATACCTAAATACTTCATACTCTTTTCCGCCTTTATTGTCTGGTCCTTTATTTTAATCTCTCTTGCTTCTCCATACCTCTTTCTCTTTCTGGTAAACACCACTAACTCTGTTTTCTCAGGTGCAATCTCCAATCCTAGTTCCCCTATATCGTTTACTATCTTATCCAGCCTCCTCTCCACTTCCCCCAATAATTCCCTCAGATCCTTTCCTTCCAGAAGCATTAAGGTGTCTTCCGCATAGTAAATTACCCTCCCCTTTTCGTCCTCTCCTTTCAGTATTTCGTTAAAACCCACGTTCCACAGGGTTGGTCCAAGGACCGAGCCCTGTGGGACTCCCCTCCTTACCTCCCACTCCATCTTTTCCCCCTCTATCTTCATCACCGCTTTCCTATCCTGTAGGTAACTTTTGATAATATCTACTAACGCCTCCTTAACACCCATTTGCTTCAGCTTTTTTACAATGTGCCCCCACCTTGCGGAATTAAATGCATTCCTTATGTCCAGGCTCTCTCCTACCACATATCTGCCCTTTCCTAACCCATTCTGTATAAATTTCACAACCCTTTCCACTGCGTCCATAGTCCCCCTCCCCTGTCTAAACCCATACTGCTCTTCACTTATTTTCCCCTTAATTTCTTCCTGTAGCCTCGTCTCTATGATCTTTTCCAGTAATTTCCCCATTGTATTTAAAAGGCAGATGGGACGAAATTTCCTCACAACTTCTACCCCTTCCTTTTCCGCTCCCTTTAGTATCAATACCACTACACCCTTCTTCCATTCTTCAGGAAAGTATCTTTCTGTTAGGCATTTGTTTCAGAATTTCGTTAGGTTTCCCATCCAGCCCTGGCGCCTTCTTGTTTTGCAGTGTTCTGCCTAATTTTTTCAACTCTTCCGTTTCCACTAGCTTGACTCCTTCCCCTCCCATTCCTCTCTCTTTTTCCACTCCTAATCCTCTTCCTTCCGGAAATAGCTCCTTTATTGCCGCTTCCGCCTCTTCCCTTCTCAGTGGTAGGTATCCCTTCCTAGTCTTTCCCCTAACAATTTTGTAGGCCATGCCCCAGACATTTCCCTCCACCTCCCTAACTACCTTCTTCCATGCCTCGTTTTTAGCCTTCCGTATTGCTGCTCTCAGTTTCCTTCTCTCCTGCTGATACCTCCCTTCCATTCTTAAGCTCCTCTCTTCCTCTCCCCTACCTTTCCTTCTCATCTTACCAATTTTCCTCTTCATCCTTTTACATTCGCTCCTAATTTCCCCAATTTCCTTACTCCACCAATAACAATTTTTCCTACTCCCCCCTTTCCTTCCGGGCATAGCCTCCATGCAGACCCTGATCACGTCTTCTTTAAATTGTTTAATACACTCCTCTATTGGCCTATCAATTTCCACTTGCTTGATTTTATTTATAGCTTTCTTTGCTTTTCCCCTGTCCATTCTCCCAACGTTCCACCTCTTATCTTGCCCGGCCATTTCCCTTCTTTCCCTCGTTCCCATAATTGTATATGATATATAGCAGTGGTCACTTAATGTTTCCTCATCCAATACCCTCCAATCCCTTATTCCTCCCACCATTTCCATCGTGGCAAACGTTATGTCCACCACCGATGTCCCGGCCGCTTTCCTACACGTTGGCTTATTCCCTATATTGCAACACACCATCCCCTCAGTTCCCATTTCCTCAGTCACTATCTCTCCTCTCTTATTCCTGTTTCTTCCTTCCCCTCTCCATATCTCACTTTTCGCGTTCAAATCTACCGCTACCATAATTTCCTTTCTACCTTTCCTTCCTAGCTCTTTAATTTCTTCTATCATTTCATCCTAAAATTTTCTAAATTCTTTAATGTCCTTGTTTGGAGAGTAGTACACGCTAAGAATTACCTTCCCTCATATTTCCAAACCCACTCTTCCCTGCTCCTGTTCAATTATACCTACTGCTATTTTAGGATTTTTAATTAAAATTGCAGCCTTGCCGTCCTGGCTCATAAATCACATTCCTCCTGTTATGCTCTTTGGTGGTTCGCATACGATTGCAACATCTGTGCCGTTTTCCATCATAAGTTGCATGAGACTGTCCAGGGCTATTCTTGAATTGTTTAGATTGATCTGTATGACCTTAATGTCCATTCCCTCTCTCTTACCTTCCTTCTTTCCTTCTTTAGGCTGTGTTCTGCTTTACGAATTTCCTTGCAACTGCTCTCTCTTCCTGCCTTTCTTGCGTCTTCTTCCTCTCCTCCGCCTCCATGTATCCTTTGCTGGCTTCTCCTATACTCCTTATGTCCTTGATTGCCTCCTCAATTGCTCTATCCATTTGTGTTTCTTCCCTCCCTCTTTCGCACTCCATGGAGCCATGGCCATACCTACCACATCTCCAGCATCTTACCAGTAGTCTACTCATTCTAAATACCCTGCAGAGTGTCCAACCTATCTTTAGTTTCCCCTTCACGCATAGGTCGTCTGCGACTTTTTTGGGTAGTTTCACCAGGGCCGTCTTTTCTTGCCAGGGTTCCAGTATCAACCTGACGATTTCCACCTGTTCCGCTTCCTCTTCGCTAATTCCTGTTTCCTTAACAATCTTTCTTTTTATTTCTTCCTCTTCCATGGATCCCTCAATCCCCCTGATTTTAATGCCATCCCTGTCTAGTAACTGCATAACCTTAGTATCCCCCCCATATTCCTTCTTATCTCTTGTCCCCATCTCCTGGCCTCTTCCGGATCTTCTATTTCGAAGAGAACCCCTCCTGTCCTATTTCTCCTTACTCTATTGATCGCTATGCCTCCAGGTGATCCCATCTTATCCTTCAATTCCTTCAGCGTTTCCTCGTACTTCTTGTCTGATTTCACCAGCACAGCCGCACCTTTCCTGGCTCTCACCTCTCTCCTCCCTGCGTTTCCCTGTGCACCTTTACTCTTGACCTTTTCTCCTACTGCCACCTTTTGTGCAACCCTTTCCGCCCACGTTCTGCTTTCGCTTTCCCGCTCCGTCTGGGTTCCTATACTTCTTGTTTGTCTCCTTGTATCCTCCACCATACCACTCACCTCCCTTATCCCCGGGTTGATCATTTTTCTCATATTTTCAATCTCTCTAGTTACCAGTCTTTCCATTCCACTTTCGCTCATTTCCTCTCTTATTCGTGGCAATTTTTCCACTTTTCTCCTACAATTACCCGCGTCGTGCCCGGCTTCCCCGCAACTGTAGCACAACTTTACTGCACTCCTACATTGCACCTTTGTATGCCCCATTTGGCCACAATGATAACACCTATACCTAGGTTCATATTCGCTGACTCTGCATCTACACCACCCTAACCTTATACTTCCCTTTACAATAGCTTCCTTTGCCTTCTCCGATTCCATAGCTATGCATGCATTCCTACCTCCTCTGACCCCTACTCTCACGAAGACTATTTCCGGTGTGCTATCCCCTGTCTGTTTCCTTATTTCCTCCCTGATTTCTTCCTCCGTGATCGTTTGTTCTATATTCTGAATGAATATCTTCCCTTTCCTTTTCCCTATTTCCTGCATATTCATTCCTATACCATCCAATCTTTTTTCTAGTATCCTTTTATCCTTTTCCCCTTGTATTAATATTAGGATATCTTCTGACCCTCTGATTTTCCTAATTCCTGTTATATTTGGGTTACTGGCTTCTATTCTTTTCTTCATTTCCTGTATTTTCGTTTCGAATTTTTCCCCCTTGTCCGTTTGCACCTTTATCCTGATTGCCTCCGTTTTAATTCCTTCTCCGTCCCTCCCGACTATGTTCTTACCTTTATCCGTATTTCCTTCTTTCTCCTCATACCTTTTCTTTCCTGGCGGAGTTCTGTTTGTAGATGACTCGTCCGGATCGATATTCCGATCCGACCTTTTCCTTTTTCCTTCCACCGTAACGTTTCCCTCCGCTCCTATCCTTTCGCTGTTCTCGCATTCCATATTCCCCTCCATCTTCAACTCACTTTCCATCCTAATCCTATTCTGCGTCCACTCTTGGACCTGTCTTGCCCCCTCCCTCCATGCTTTAATTAATTCCTCCTTTAGAATTCTACTGAAAGCCCTACTATCTCCAATCCTTCTTATTAAGTTCTGTATCTTCACTGGCCATCCCATTAGCACCTCCATTACTTCCTCAATTTCTACCTCCTCTTCTTTCCTTATTTCCCTTACTTTCCTCTCCATCCTCATGGTATTTTATATATTGCAGTGGTCACTTAATGTTTCCTCATCCAATACCCTCCAATCCCTTATTCCTCCCACCATTTCCATCGTGGTAAACGTTATGTCCACCACCGATGTCCCGGACGCTTTCCTACACCTTGGCTTATTCCCTATATTGCAACACACCATCCCCACAGTTCCCATTTCCCCAGTCACTATCTCTCCTCTCTTATTCCTGTTTCTTCCTTCCCCGCTCCATATCTCACTTTTCGCGTTCAAATCTCCCGCTACCATAATTTTCTTTCTACCTTTCCTTCCTAGCTCTTTAATTTCTTCTATCATTTCATCCTAAAATTTTCTAAATTCTTTAATGTCCTTGTTTGGAGAGTAGTACACGCTAAGAATTACCTTCCCTCATATTTCCAAACCCACTCTTCCCTGCTCCTGTTCAATTATACCTACTGCTATTTTAGGATTTTTAATTAAAATTGCAGCCTTGCCGTCCTGACTCATAAATCACATTCCTCCTGTTATGCTCTTTGGTGGTTCGCATACGATTGCAACATCTGTGCCGTTTTCCATCATAAGTTGCATGAGACTGTCCAGGGCTATTCTTGAATTGTTTAGATTGATCTGTATGACCTTAATGTCCATTCCCTCTCTCTTACCTTCCTTCTTTCCTTCTTTAGGCTGTGTTCTGCCTTACGAATTTCCTTGCAACTGCTCTCTCTTCCTGCCTTTCTTGCGTCTTCTTCCTCTCCTCCGCCTCCATGTATCCTTTGCTGGCTTCTCCTATACTCCTTATGTCCTTGATTGCCTCCTCAATTGCTCTATCCATTTGTGTTTCTTCCCTCCCTCTTTCGCACTCCATGGAGCCATGGCCATACCTACCACATCTCCAGCATCTTACCAGTAGTCTACTCATTCTAAATACCCTGCAGAGTGTCCAACCTATCTTTAGTTTCCCCTTCACGCATAGGTCGTCTGCGACTTTTTTGGGTAGTTTCACCAGGGCCGTCTTTTCTTGCCAGGGTTCCAGTATCAACCTGAGGATTTCCACCTGTTCCGCTTCCTCTTCGCTAATTCCTGTTTCCTTAACAATGTTTCTTTTTATTTCTTCCTTTTCCATGGATTCCTCAATCCCCCTTATTTTAATGCCATCCCTTTCTAGTAACTGCATAACCTTAGTATCCCCCCCATATTCCTTCTTATCTCTTGTCCCCATCTCCTGGCCTCTTCCGGATCTTCTATTTCAAAGAGAACCCCTCCTGTCCTAGTTCTCCTTACTCTATTGATCGCTATGCCTCCAGGTGATACCATCTTGTCCTTCAATTCCTTCAGCGTTTCCTCGTACTTCTTGTCTGATTTCACCAGCACAGTCGCACCTTTCCTGGCTCTCACCTCTCTCCTCCCTGCGTTTCCCTGTGCACCTTTACTCTTGACCTTTTCTCCTACTGCCACCTTTTGTGCAACCCTTTCCGCCCACGTTCTGCTTTCGCTTTCCCGCTCCGTCTGGGTTCCTATACTTCTT